CGGCCGCTGGTGGGCCTCCAAGATTCGGGAATCCATTTATTAGATATTTTGAGTCAACATCTGCAGCTAACCAGAACTTGATTTCAAATTTATTCAAATTCCAGTTCAAGTCCTTTTGCACAACAGAAACCATGTGCATATAAACTTGCTATAAAAGCACCCATTTCTTCTACAGTTATATTCCATTCATTTTCATGAATATGTTGATGAGCTACATCTTCAGTATATTTCTTTATATGCTTCAATATTCCTTCATTTATGAAAAGTCTCTAGGCACTTGACCGACTGCTTTCTATAATATTGTGTTTACCATGTGGTGTTGGGCCCCGAACTTCCTTCAAAATATTTTGCTTTGATTTTCTTCCTTTATCATTTGTTCCTAATTGTACAACATTCCAAACTGTCCCATCTTTGGCAACTTCATTATTTCCAACTTTGAATGTTACTGCTGATTTCTTTTCAGTATATGAATCTTTTCTTAGAATTTTTTATCTCATAAATTATCATCATTATTGCGATGAGAAGGTCCAGAGATTGTTAGGGCACTACCAGAGACATCATCACTCATTTTCTTCATCTGAACTCGATTTTCTTCATTAGCAGGCACATATTCATCATCGCTACTGAAATTCGAAGAACTGTCATCATTATCATCATCTTCTGAATCATTTTCAGATAATTATTGTAAATATTGCAAAGCTGTCTGAAGAGTGTTGAACAGTCCTGAATGAAGTCGTGACATCTTATCTATCCTTATACTAAATATAGAATGACAGCAACTTCAAAAAGTCTTTCGAAATATTCGTTACAGTTTTCCACTGCATTCGAATGCAGTTCACGTTTCGAACCTTGACTGAAAACCATACTATTCCCCCACCTGGTGCAGTCCATTTTAGGAATTAGAAGGTGAAGCAGATAAACTTTACATTTATTTCCAAAAAAATGCATCTGTTTTTCGTAATTTAGGCATAAACATTTCTTACAGGTCAAATTGACCCTTTTTGTGGTTCTAGGTATCAGTGTTAATAATCAGAAGTTTATTTATGTTACCCAGTTTCAAATTCGGTAAGTTATTGTTTACCTTAAATTATTAAAAATCATGAAAGGAATTTGTTTTTCATTCAATACTTTTTGCGTGGTGATAAATTAAACATCAGTTTGGGTCAAATTGACCCGCTCTGCGGTTCTAGTGTTAAAGCAAAATTAACATTACACATATGAATTTACCATTAAATTTAAACTTATCACTAAATGTCTATGTAACATATTCAAAAGCAACTTAATTTTGAACTTTTGCACAAAATTTTAATTAGTATATCTTTTGCTATAAGTTGATAATTTCACTCCTAAAATAATGCTATTGTAAAAAAAATATTAAATCTGTATTATTTTGCTACAGAAAAAAGTGTTTCTGCCTCATTTAAAATTATAACTGGAAAGTCTGAACTGCACTAAATATAAGATTTAATTTTACATCTACTAATGTTCTAAATAATATGTTAAAAGCAAGAGTTTTTATTTTAATCTTAGCATATGCCCCTCCTCTAACAATTTGATACCTATCATTCTTTCTTTCTTAAGAGCTCTTGGTGCTATTAGTCACATTCCTCACTTCTTCTGAATCATTTTTGTGTCCGTATCAGTTTCCAAATAAAAGGATATTGTCACTAAATGTGATCCCATGTTTTATTTTTAATAAAATAATATCTAAATTTTAGAAAACACAAATAAAATGATGTTGCCACCAAATGTTATTTCCATATATTATTTTTAAATAAAATGATTATTTTTAAATAAAATGATTGTATTATTTACAAACAAAATGATGTTGCCACCAAATGTTATTTTCATGTATTATTTTTTAAAGAAATACTGAATATAAAAAATGTATGGCAACACTAAAAATCTATCGGAATTCTAAATGTATGCTACTTTAAAATATTTTGTGATCTTACTGTTGAATTTTATATGGTGTAAGTGAAAACAAAATGATGTTTAATAAATAAAAAGACAAAAAAGTTGTGTTAGCATTAATGAAGCTAAGAACAGGCTAGTAAATTGTAAGCTTAAGAACAGCATCAAAACACTTAACAAACCTAAAGTGAGACATTAAGATATAAACCCTTTCATAGTTACTTTTTTTTTTTTTTTTTTTTTTTACTCCTGAAGGCAGTGTTAATGAAACCATCAATAAAAAAGTATCCAGGAGATCTATTACAGAATTAATAGGAAATAATATTCACCAAAGAATAAATATCCTTTTCTTATGATTCATAAACAGATTTTGTACTTCAAAATTATTGGATACCTAGATTATTTGATGAGTTAATGTGAATTTTAGGAAAAAGAAATATCAACTAAATACTGGGCAAATTATCATAGCTGCTTTTGCACTTAATATCTACTGTTTACTAAATTATATGTATATTTTTGGTTTAAATTTAAAGCTTTAAGATTAGTTATACTTAACAAACCTGTACAATTCAGTTAATAATATTTCATTCAGTTTTATCCAATTATTCTCATAAACTGGTCACATAAAGCAAAATGTATAGGCTCATTTATTGATTAATAATAAAAAACCACATACAGTTCTTTATAATAGCCCACAATTGCTTTTTAGATATTAATTAGAACATTAGTAGATGTAAAATTAAATCTTATATTCAGTCCAGTTCAGACTTTCCGGTTACAATTTTAAATGAAGCAGAAACACTTTTCTATGCAGCAAAGTAATTCAGATTTAATACTATTTTGATAATATTCTAGATCAGTGGTCGCTAAACTTATGAAGCAGCTTCTGAGCTTCCGTATAGTTTTTAAATCCTACTGTGAGCTACCAACCAAAAGAACTATGAATTTAAAAAAAAAAAAAAAAAAAACTTAGATTTGTTTATTGCCTATAAACTTACATTTCTAGTAAATATGATATTAATTTTAATTAAAATGTATGTAACAAAAAGAAACTGAAAGTGAATTATACATAAGAAAGAAATTGATGTGTAGTTAGTAATAAATAAAAAGTGTAATGACAGATTTTTTTTATCAGACTTTATTGAGAAGCAGGGAACTCCTTTTAGTCATCAACTTTTTTAGCGTTGGGAGAGTAGGTAGTGCTCCCATTTGAATACAGTTGTCCAAATGTTTATCAGTGAATCTGTTTCTGTACTTATTTTTAATAAATTTCATACTAGAAAAAGAAATCTCACACAGATACCTAGAGCCGAATACTGCTTTCTCTTTGAGACAAATCTGGACCAAAATTGGGTATCTTAATTTAGGAACAAGAGGCCAAATATTTTCAGAGATTGAAGAAAGCGATTTTACGCATAAGTCATCTTGAAAATCAATCAGTACCAACTCCACTGCCTCATTGTCTTCTTGAAAATCAAAATGCTCCATCTCACAAGTAGAGAACTCTTCAACATTAATCTCTATAAAAGGCGATTTGACAAACAATTGAAATCGTTTTGAAATCTTGGAAGCGTTTGCTGAATTCATTACTTTCTTACAAACTGATACACTTGTAGCACAGTAAACACACACATTTGTCTTTTATCTGGGTAAAGAAGTAATCGGTTTCCCATTCCGAATGAAAATGATAAGTTCTTCACTTTTTGCTTGAATATGTGATTGTTAAAACAAACCCAGCTTGGTACCAATATGTAAATCAAACTATACAAGTTAGCAAATGTCTAATACACACACAAATGACATAATGTGCACAACCTCACGCGCATACAATCAACTATCAGGCAGAGAATGGCAGTTGTTGTCGTCAGCGTCAGCTCGGTAGAGGAATCAAGGTTAGCCAATCGAAGCGTTAATGCGATCTACCGAAAATGTCCGTGCTAGCTACTAATAGCTTGGGATCGATGATTTGGTGACCACTATTCTAGATACTAGATAAGCATCTTATATACTCATACATAAGTGTGCATGTCTGATGATTTAGAAGTTAATGATGCAGTGCAGAACATGGTTTACAGACTTATGGAACTTGGTGCATTAAAAATATTAGCAACTGCACAGATTTCACACTTCTTATTTTCAAGAAGCACATTCTTAACTTTATATTCTTATACAGTGCAACAGTTACAGTATGCATACCTGGTTTTGATCTCATATGTCATATTTCACATCTTTGTAACAATTAATTTCAATAGAATAAAGAAAGCGAAGAATCCAAGATGAAAGCTCAGTTCAGAATATTTAGTTTTGGTTAAGCTTTACTTTGATTGGTTAACTTTAAGCTTTTACAAATTTGAAATTATTACTGGCTGAGGTGTTAAGCAAGTATCTGCATCATGAATGTTATGCTAGAATCGTGAGAGGAACATTAATTTTGGAATGTTATGGTTTACAGCGATTTATTATTAACAATACTATTTTGGGGGCAATGCAGAAAACGATTCACAATTAAAGTTAGAAATTTTATTTATGTTTTTTCATCTTTATTTATACATATAAAAGATAAAAAAACTCTCCTTCTCTCTCTATATATATATACATACATACAAATGTTTATTTGAATATATGGAAAAACATACTGAAGATATAAAAAAAAAGAACAAACAGAATAAGTTAATGAAATAAAATGTGTTATCTTGAAATACTAAATTCACATTTAAACATAAGTAAAATGAGACTGCATCATCAGCTGAAGCTGAAATGAGTTGCAGTTGAAACATTCTAATTCTACTTTATGAAGTTGATGCGTTATCTGCAAAAATACCTACTTATATTAATTTAAACACTGTTTTAGCACATCAGTCTAAAACATTTTATTTAATTTTTAACCGTATATATTGATATTCAAACCTACAGTAGAACACAAAATGAAAACTTTAGCTTAATCTAAGCAACAGTTACCCATATTTTCAAGTATATTAGAAATGGAATTTTACAGACTTATAAGCAATATTTTATTTAAAATTTTACTGATTTTACTTTTATGTTTTATCTTTTAACATTTCAAAAGAGTAAAAAAAAAAACTTACAAAGGCCACACCATAAAGCCCTAGTTCCAACATGATAGGTATAGATGCATGCAAGGCTTCCCAGCCATAACCAAGTCCTCTGATCCAATGACCAGCATATTGTCCACTTCCAACAAAAGTTGAATCTGTTACAATTAGCTTCCTTTTATTTGGATAAATGATATTTAGTGCTCTAAAATGAGAATAAAAAAACATATTACAACACATTTATTGTAATTCAAAGTCAAACAACAAAAATCAGCGTTATATCTACAAAATTTTCACAGGACTAGTTTCGATGGTTTTTCCGAACCACCATCTTCAGCTTCAAAACCGCAAATGAAAATGTTTTTCATAGCTGAAGATGGTGGTTCGGTAAAACCATCGAAACTAGTCCTGTGAAAATTTTGTAGATATAACGCTGATTTTTGTTGTTTGACTTGACTTCTGAATTAGTATTTATTCGGCGTGTTATTGTGTCTTAACATTTATTGTAGTAAACATTTACTAGAACAGTATTTCATCTTCAGAATCAAGCAGGTTTGTAAAAAATAACTAAGTTATTATTTTTAATCATATAATATCTAAGCTACAAAAAACTAAATATTACATAGCAAATGCAATTTAAACAGAAACTAAATTATTAGGCTCATGCAACATTGATGTAACTACTGCAGCAATGAAAGTTCTAATTCAGTGTAAAATTTATTAAAATTCTACATTATGAAATATATTTCATATAGAAATGACTTACTCTTCAGTTGCCATAACCATTGAATGTCCATAAAAATTATGACTATCATAATGTGTAATGATATCCTCTCTCCAATGAGACAGTGCATTCATGCATAATGTTTTCTGATATATGTTTCCAAGTGATTCTGCGTAAATTGAAAAGGTAAACTAAATTTTGCTTGGATTTTTAATGTTAAAATATAAGATCAAAATGTATTTAAAGATAATTAGAACTCACTAGGAATGTAAGGTGGCCTGTTTAAATCATCATCTAAGCAACCATTCAAAGAGCCATCAATCTCACTAGATGGTTCGTTATTAACCTGGGAAAATACTGATCATGAAAACTACTTAGCCTCTTATAAGACATGAACATAAATTAAGAAAAAATAAATAGCTAATGTCACAAAACACAAAATTTCCTTGCAAAATGTTTCAAATACCAAACTAATTCTAACACTAGAAAAATGCATATCATTTGCTGGAATAGCTTTTTAACTCATTTAAAAAATTATTCATATCATGCAACTACATAATACTGAACTTTTCTCTCAAATATCAGTCTCAGCAAAAGATTGCAGATTGTTATTCTCCTACATTCACTACATTAACAAATTATTTTCATTTTTTATTTTCCTTGATAATTTGAAGAAATCGCTTCTGCTTCTTCTTCCCCCCCCCCCTTTTTTTGGTCTCAGTTTTTTTTTTTTTTTTTTTTTTTTTTTTTTTTTGAGCCTATGTGGTTATATAATTAAACTGAATTAATTATTACAACTACATAAACATATCAGAAATAGTACTTTGAAAATTTCTTTTTGATGTATTTTTAAATATAAGTATTTTGAATTAAGCGTTTCATTTCATGTAACAAAAGAATCTAACTTACTAGCCACAAGCCATCAATATGCATAGTAGAAGATATTCTTTTTATCACATTAGTCCACCACGTGATTGCTGATGTTCTTCCGAAATCTGGATATACTGTAATTTTCCCATTTTGCTGTATAAATGTAAAAGAAACCAATTTAAATGTTTTATTAAAAATTTTAAAGAAATTAATTTTATCACATACAAAAAGCACGCTATAAAATTATAATTGTGAACTAAACTTATTTCTTGTTAATTTCATTGTAAATTAAAAGTAATAATTAATTAACAATAAAATTTTATTATAATGAACAAAAATACATACATAAGTTTTGTAAACACTTTAAAAAACTTAAAACAAAAACAACTTATCAAAATTAACTGCTAGTCTTATTCATATTTGGTAAGAAATGTTGCATGTAATAAGTATTTTTTAACCCTATAAGCATATATTATGTCAGTACATTTCTAATGCTGTTTATCCTTCTTTGAAGATTGTTAATACAAAATGAGCAGTAGAATTTTTTCATACATATATGTTGGAAGGGAAGAAAAATAAAAGCACTGAATTTCATAATGAATATTTATAAAACAGATGTTTAATCTAAAACTTATTACAAATGCAATGCATTAGCAAGCATTTCACAATTTGTGACCCCTACTTTACAATTTTAAATTGAAATTTATATTCAAAATCTCAAGAAAACTTTCATAAGACTTCTCCTGCCCTACTTCAGATTCAGCCGTTTACCATTTTTCTTTTTTAAAGTATTAGGTACACATACAGAAATTTACACTTGGTTAGCTATAAATGTATACTATAATACATAACTGAATTTAGTAGGTTCCCTTTATAATCCTATCATATGAGCTTCTCAAATAAAAATATGGATAGTATTATGTGATGAAATTGTTTTATTACTTAAATTCTGTAATCTCAAGAATTCAAAATCAAACTGTAACATTAAAATCAATTTGTAAATTATGTAACATTTGAAAGCACTACACCAGAGAAATGTATTTCTAATAAAAATACAAAGAATGATATTCTTAATGCAATATATAATACTTACTCGACCTTCAATAGGATTTAATCCCCATTTATCTGTGATAAAAACATCATGTTGCATTCCTACACCATACAACGAATCACGACTAGGTGTTGCATCTTTTGGAATATTTGGATCTAAGCTCATTATAAATTTCTGCTCATTATTTTCCATTCTAGTAGCAAAGTTTGAAAAACTTGAAAACTTTTCATTTTTTGATAGGATTTTGGATATACTTTCATGCTCTAAAATGAGAGTTTCCTATAAAGAAAGACTTCAATGAATTATAAATACAACAAAAAATGTCACTATGTGAACATACTACAAATGACTGCACAATAAACTGTTTGAAAGATTTTCACAGCTTTAAATTACAGGATATACTAAGAACTAAGAAATTTCTTCATTTATAATCAATGTGTAAGTTATAAGAATTAACTGAAAATTTAGTTCATTTCTAAAAATAAGTACATGTTATCCAAAGTTGAAATTACCTATGCAGACATAAATATGCAATTTTAACATAAAGCAGCACATTTGAATACATTTATATCTGAATTAAAATCATTCAGGTCTCTTTTCACTTAACAGCAAGTAAAGTTGCAGTTGTATTCTCATGAGGAATATACACAAATCATACATGTACAACGAAAATATGGACTAGCTAGTAAGTACAAGAAGTGTATATCAAGTAATGCAAAGCTTTTAATAAAGACATTTATATTTATTAGCACAACCACCTTAGGAATGGCCAAACTTTCTAACAAGTTGTTGGGAATGGCATCACTAAGCCAACGAATCAAAAGCCAGATAGAGACTGACGTCATGGGACGCCAGAGGAAAACGAACAGTTCCGGTTTAGTTAGCTAAGAACGATGTTTGCATGATGTGGCTAGATAGATATTGTAGCTAGATAAATATTTTTTATTCTTTTAACTTGTCTTTATGTGTAAATAAATCTTTTTGCTTAAGTTTAAATGAAGTACTCCATTTATGACAAGATAGCTGTTAATTCATCGGGTAGATGACTTACGAATCCCTTCTGAGCTAGCCATTGTTCGAACGTAACGCCTTACGTAACATATCATTGTGGCGCCAAGACGTGGGGCGCGATAACAGCTAAAATAAATTGAAAATGGAGCTTACACAGCTCCATTCTAGCCTAAGAACTTCTAATGTCTAAGAATCTTCTAATGTAAGAATGTCTAAGAACTTCCTTTATCACATGTGCAAACAAAATTCATGCAGAACTGAAATCAGATATTCCTGATTTGAAGCTACTTTCGATTCTGGAACAACAGCTTAGAGACAAGTTTAATCGACTTGAAATTTGCCAAAAGGAAGTAACGTCGCTAATTCTACAATCTAAAGAAGCTGAAAAGCTATATGAAGAAGATTTTATTTCGTCTGAGCCTTATAGAGATAAATATTTTGAACTGTGTTCTCAAATCGAAAAGCTGTCGAAGAATCCTTTACCTACTGAATTACCAGAGAAGCGCAAATTTAAACTGCCGAAGATCGAACTAAAGAAATTCAACGGCGAAGCAAAAGAATTTTTGACGTTTTGGAGCCAGTTTTCGAAGATCCATGAAGATCCGACGATTCCAGATGAAGATAAATTCCAGTACCTCCTGCAAGCAGTTGTTCCTCAGTCCAAAGCCGCACGGGTAGTGGAGAGCTTTCCGGCAACGGCGTCGAATTATCCGAAAGCAATCGCCCAGCTTCGAGAGAGGTTTGGAAGAGAAGACTTACTTGTACAGATATACGTCAGAGATCTTCTAAGCATGGTTATGCGTAATGCAAGCAGTGGACGTGTGAAGACGGATCTTCCCACTCTCTACGATGATTTAGAAACCAAGATTAGAGCTTTAGAAAGTCTTGGAAGAACGCAAGAGAAGTATGGTGATTTCTTAACGCCTTTAGTTGAATCCTGCCTGCCCGAAGAAGTATTAATTGCTTGGGAGAGAAACAGAAATTTAAAAGAAGCACCTCAGCCTGATGACCGATGCCTTGAAAATTTGATGAATTTTCTGAAACAAGAAGTGAAAGGAGAAGAGATGGTCGTGTTAGCCCGCACTGGGTTTGGTTCTAATCATATTTCTAAGAAAAAGGATACACTAAATAAAAATTTAGATTTCGCCACCGCAGCTGCGTTAGTAAGTACATCAAATTCTGAGAGCCCAGGTAAGCGCAATTTTAACTGTCTCTTTTGTGAAAAACGGCACCCAACTAAAGAATGTTTTTCTGCTAGAAATATGACATTAGAAGCTAAGAAAAATATATTAATTAAAAAGGGGCCTGTTTTGGATGTTTCAGATTTGGACACACACTTTTAAAACATGTCGAGTAAAAAATTCTTGCATGTACTGTAATAAAAATCACCATTCTTTAATGTGTGTCCCAATCGCCAAGAAAAAAGCGCAAATGAAAAGTCTAAAAGGGACGTAACTGAAACCAGTACATTAACTAATAACTGTAAAATAGAAAATGTTTATTTAATGACTCTAATAGTTAAAATTAAATTTAAGAATGTTGAGCTTAAAGTACGCACATTACTGGATACAGGTTCTCAGCATTCGTATGTCAGTAAAAAATTAGTAGAGAATTTAAATTTAAAACCATTAAGGCAAATTAAATTGAAGCATTCGTTATTCGGTGGAAGAGAAACGCGAACGCAGATTCACGATGTTTATAATTTGTTGATTTCGGCATTAGATGAAACTTTCTCCTTTCAAATCGAAGCACTTTCCGAGAGCAAAATTTGTGGCACAGTGCCAAAAGTGAACGATAGTAAAATTATTAATGAACTGAAAGATAGAGGCGTCAGTTTGTCTGATTTGGGTTCTTCTGATCGTGAGATTGATCTGCTTTTGGGAGCGGATATTGTGGGTGCTTTATTTACTAATAAATCTGTTCGGTTGGAGTCAGGGTTATTTTTGATTGACACTTGTTTGGGACATGTGTTAACTGGGAAGCATGAGTCATTTGGAGATAGCAATGATGATACTGTTTTGAATGCAATTTCGTTGTATGTTAGTAATTATTCGATAAAAGATTTGTGGTCTTTAGAATCCATAGGTATTTCAGATCCCATTGAAAATAATAGAAAGAATTTAGAACATTCTAGAGTTTTGGAAGAGTTTAAAAATAATGTGAAAATTCTTTCAGACGGTAGATATGAACTTTGTTTACCTTTTAAATCTGATGTGGCCGATTTGCCGACAAATAAAGATTTAACTTGGAAGCGGCATAAAAGGATGTGCCAGCGAGCACAAGATAAAGCATTTTTAGAAGAATATACTACGATTTTTTTCCGGGAATGGGAAAAATTGAATATAATTGAAAAGGTAACTGATAATGCTGAGACGGGACATTTTTTACCTCATCGGCCAGTAATTAAGGACAGTACCACTACAAAAATCAGACCTGTCTTTGACGCGTCAGCCCGAGAAAGTGGTAAATGCTCTTTGAATGACCTTTTGTATAAGGGTCCGAACTTACTAGAAATAATTCCAGAGATACTTGATAGGTTTCGAATTCATCCAATAGGATTATCTTCAGATATTGAGAAAGCATTTCTGATGCTAAGTATAGCCCCTCAACATAGAGATTTCTTGCGGTTTTTTTATCCGTCCGAGAGTGAACAGATTGTTTACCGACATCGCAGAGTAGTATTTGGGTTAAAGTCGAGTCCATTTTTATTAGCAGCCTCAATTACACATTTATTAGATAATGTACCATCTGAATTTGATGCTATAGCACAAAAACTGAAACATTCTTTTTACGTAGATAATTGTGTTTCTGGTGTTGCAAATATTGAGGAGCAGGAAGATTTTATTGTAAATGCAAAAGATATTTTGTCACGGGGTTGCTTTAATTTAAGAAACTGGGAGAGTAATGTAAAATGTAAGTATGTTTCTAATAGTACTGGTGTCACGAAAGTATTGGGAATTTTGTGGGATCTTGATAAGGACACTCTTAAGTGTAATTTAAACTTTAATCTTGTAAGTGAAGATCAGAATTTTACTAAGAGAATCATTTTAGCTACAGTTCACAAAATATTTGATCCAATAGGTCTGTTGAGTCCTGCAATCTTACCACCTAAGCTTTTTTACTGCAGGAAACGTGGAATTTAAATCTAAAGTGGGATACTCCCTTACCAGATAGTATTCAAATGTCTTTTAAAAGATGGTTTAGAGAAATAGATGCATTAAGAGATATCGAAATCTCACGTTATGTTGAAATAAATGATTCCACTGAGATGCATGTTTTCGTAGATGCGTGCAAAGAGGCATATGCCACCTGTATTTTTTTTAGAACGAGAACCTCTCAAGGGGTAAAAATTTACTTTGTTAGAGCAAAAACCAGAGTTGCACCTTTGAAGAAAGTAACGATCCCTAGGTTAGAGTTAATGGCTTGCTGCATTGGTGCCAGGTTGGCATATTCAGTGAAGCAGGCTTTAAATGCCCATGAGATTAAAACAATATTTTGGAGCGACTCTAGGGTAGCTTTATACTGGTTAAAAGAACGTGGTGATTGGACAGTTTTTTGTCTCGAACAGAGTAAAAGAAATAAATAATCTGTTTCCTAATAATGAATGGCGACATGTGCCAGGGAAAATGAATCCCGCTGATCTGATTTCGCGAGGGTGTTCCCCTAAGAAATTGTTAGAATCCTGCTGGTGGAAAGGCCCGGCATGGTTGTTGCAAGCAAGAGACAACTGGCCTGACACCGAAATATTGATAACGGAAACACCCGAAATAACACTTGAAAGGAGAAAGGTTAGGTTATGTAATATTAATTTGTCGGAAGAGAGAGTCCCGTGGTATGCCATTAAATTCTCAAATTTCCATTCAATAGTTAGAATGGTTGCATGGATATTGAGATTTATCAGTAATGTAAGATCGCATCATGATACTAGACGGGGGGGGGAGAACTTCTAACGCAGGAGATTGAAAATGCTGAAATTCTGCTTATTCGTAATGTGCAAGCTCAATTTTTTCCTAGTGAAACCTCTTTTCGGAACTTGTGTGTTTTCAAAGATGTGAACGGAATTATCAGAGTTAAAACTCGAATTACTGAACGCATAGATAAGCCTTTCTTCATTTCACCTATTCTTCTTCCTGATAAATGTATCTTTACTCAAAGACTGATTGAATATTTTCACCGAGAAAACTGTCATGCTGGAACCCAGATATTACTAAGCATATTGCGTGAAAAGTACTGGATTACAAGAGGAAGAAGAGCGATACGTAGTGTTC